ACGGATAATTCAAGTGCTCTAAAGGACATGAAATTTTGTAATGAAAATCACTGGAGTAACACAGTCAGGTTTCAGAAGAAGTGACTTCACAACAGGTAGAAGGGGGAATAGGAAAGGAGCAGAACAGGACAATGTGACTGGTAAAGAGCAAGGTGAGATCTTCAGGGATGGTTTCCTGCAAATAAATGAGTGTCTGTCTGAGGCTTGGGTGTAGTCTGAGGTGCTTAGTTGGGCCAAAATAAACCATTTATGTTCCTGCCCTTCCACCCTTGCTGCTAGATTAAAGCTTTCCTTGGAGAGATCCCAGCACTTGCAGAGAGCAATTTGCTTCTTTCTGAGTTAGACATCTGAAATAAGTTAGATAAATTCACTGTGGAGGTTTGTGTTCCCTGATGTGGTTCTGCACGGATCCTGGACTGTGTAGTTTGGATTTCAGCATCCAAGATTTAAATGCTGAAATCCAGGTGAGATCATAGAGTATGGATGGAAGGGGTCTCTGGTGTCTCTAATCCAACCCCCTGGTCAAAGCAAAACCAACATGATCAGGTTGATCATGGTCACATCCAAGTGAGATTTGATTCTCTCAAAGAAAGGAGATTCCTCCCTGCCCTTAGACTCCTGTTCCAGGGTTTGTCCATCCCTCATAGGGAAAAAAGATGCTTCCTTGTATCTTATAGGAATTTATTTTGTCCCAGCTTGGGCTGTCATCTCTTGTCCCAACACTGAGCACCTCCAAGGAGAACCCGTCTCTGTCTTCTCTCCACTATCCCAGCAGGGAGCTGCAGAGAGCTGTCTAAACCCTTTTTTGCAATCTCTCCCACCACCAACACAGTGGGAGGAGAGTGACTAAGGTTCTTTACGTCCCCTCAGGTTAAATTAAGGTGAAACGTCACCAAACAACCAGTTAAACGTTTTATTTATAATGGAGATAACCTGAACTTGGAAAATGTACTAAACATTGGTAATGTGGGTTCTTATCTTAGTGACAAGAAGGATTCACCACTCCAGTGGTGTTCATATCTTAGTCAGGAGAAGGAAAAAAGAAAAAGAGAAAGAGACAGGAAGGAAAAGAGGAGGAGAGAGAGAGAGAGAGAGAGAGATTTGACCAGTCCTAGGTCCAGCGTTGGTCCTGCCAATGGAGGTGTCTGGTCCTGGGGGGAAGGTGGGTGGCCACCTACATAGTGATCTTTGCAATTTTTAATAGGCAGTTAGTCTCCTTCCTTCGGTTGAGTTTCTTCTTTCTCATCCTAATTAGATGTCACACATAGTTCTTGCATTAGAATGTTCTGGAAATGGGTCGGTGGGCTAGTAGGGTCTGAAGGTAGTCTTCATCTCCCCCCACTGGAATTACTGCTGTTTGACATCTTCTGGGTGCAGCACAGTTTGGAGACACTAGTACTCACTGGGTTGGGTTAGAAGTTAAGGGAGTAGGCTCAGAAAAGTCCTGCTCTGCCTCTGCAAGGTCCCCTTATCTGACCGCAAGACCCCCTTATCTGACCACAACTTGTTTGACTTCCTCATATCAACATGGTAACACATCAGATGAATGTTTGAGACATTTAACCAAGGCTTGAGACCTTTAACCCCATATTGTCTGTCCCAACTTAGTCTCTCCTTGAACAGATCAAACTCCAACCTGGCTCTACTGGGTTCACTCCTGTCTGTCATGTTCTGCCTAATATTGAGGAGCCCAAACTGGATCCAGTGCCAAGATGGGGTGAGGAATCACTGCCCTAGCCATACTGTGGGCAGTAGGAAGGTGTGGGTGAAAACAAGCCCTGTCTCAAGCCTGGGAGACCCACAAAGTTCTCAAGGACAAGAAATATATTGACCATGGTTGCTTTCTTCTTCACTTCCAAAGTATCAGAGCAGACTGAGGGGGATATTGGGGCCATAAATGATTTCCAAGGCAGGGGAGGATCAACTGAGGGCTGGATGAAGTTTGTGGAGCCTGAATAGCTTCAGCATATCTATCAGCACTCAGTTTTACCTCTTGATTCGTTTGTTGGTAACCAAGACCACTACATGCAGAAAGCTGACCTGGGTATCAGGATGTAGACTGTAGAGATCAGGCCTCAGTGTTTGGGCATGTCACCTACTGCTGAGCTAGTTTAGGACTTCAGAGACACAACTCTGGTCTTCCCTAAAACAAGCCACAGATTTGATTTTATCTACACACAGCAAGGAAATGCATTTCCCTTGACTCCTCCTGACTGGAAATCTCTGATCCCTCTCTAATTTAGCACAAGATTTCAAAACCCTCCATAAGTACCTGTTTTTCTCTCCTGATATAAGGAAGCAGAAAGATAAAAAAGCAAATGATATGACATAAATATTTATTACCCTGCTGAGCCTTACTTCACTCCTTGGTCAGCTCTTCCAAGGAGCTAACTTCATAATAAATCCAGAGCATGGGGCTTTCCTTGTCATAACAAGGCACAAGCAAAGAGGTGAGACTCTTCGCAATGCTGCTTGAGGAACCAACAATACAACTGCTCCAGGGCTTAGCCTGAAACATCTGGGAACAAAAAATGCTTCCCACATGTCTGGGTGTCCCCAGGGCTCAGTTGTGACCCTTTGCACTAACAAAAACCAAAAGAGCACCCTGACATGACTGTGTTCCAGTAAGAACAAGACTACAGGATGGAAGACACCTTGAAACATCATCTCTGGACCAGGGATGTCCTTGGAAGTGTTTTCCACTCCTTGGTCCCACCATGCACCTCCCTAAATGTACTGAGAGTTACACAGCCCAGAAAGATCAAGATCCCTGGATCTGCAGATCTTCCCACAGCATTTTGGAAATTAATGGTGATTTCTCACCAGGAAACATCTCATTTCTCACCAGGAAACATCTCGTTTCCAAGCAACAGAGTCGAAAGAGTTAAGAGCCTCCTTTGCTTTCTCAAAGCAGACAGGGTCCCGACATTTGCAGCAGAAGACAAAGGATGGGGAGAGATGCAAGCAAGATCTAAGCCAGTTTCAGCTCAATTAAAGCAACCGGTGTCTTTAAGAAAGAGCCCTTGGGGTTTCACCAGAGCTGTGTTGTTGTTTCTAGTGACTCCAGAAAATGGAGTTTAACAGATGTAAATTTGTAAATTCTTCATGGCCCCAGAGTCCTCCCAGGGCCTGACAAAGAGGAAGGATTATTTTTCAACTAACACCTCTGATTTGCTTTTGCCAAGGGTTGATTTTAGGGGTTTTTTTTCAGTAATTCTTGGCGGTGGTGAGCTCAGGGATTTGAAATGCCCCTTAGACAAGCAAGCGACGTCTTTGTACGCACGCCGGATCGGCTTATTGTTTAATTCAGTCTGCTACCGGTATTATTCTGTATCCTGGTTACAATAAGACCCTTGGTTTTCTCAAGCCTCTCAAGAGACGATTTATTTGTTTACCTGAATGGTTTGTCTGTCCTCTGATGATTTTTTCCCCCAAATTTTTGAATTTTTTTCATCCGGTAAATCGCAGCTCTTTGCATGTGACTACGCAGAGGTTCAGACCGTGCATCTGCTTGGAGGTTGAAATGCAAAAGGGAAGTAGTATTTCCTTTCTCCTACACCCACATGTGCAAGGAGGCACATGGACACTTATCTACCCCATCCATCCATCCATCCATCCATCCATCCATCCACCCATCCATCTCCTGGCAGAGACATGAGTTCTCTCATGTTCATGCTCAGCAGTAAAACACCTTTGTGTTGTTTGTCCACCTCCTTGGCTAAGACTGAAACCCACCCACACCGTATCACAAGTGACCTATCCATGTTTGTCCCTTCTACTTGTCCCTTCCTGCCATGCTGTCGCAGGTAGTGAGTCACAGTGAGTTATGCACTTCACTTGTAAGAGATGGAATAATATATTTATTGATATAAAATAGTGAATTAACAAAGTTCAAAGGTTAACATGATATTCATTTAATAAGATGCAGTGATGAGGTTCACTTGATTATTTACTGCATAGAGGACAGGGCTAGACACAACTGACAGGAAGACCTTCCTGTTGAGTCACAAGGTTCAGAAAGGACCCCTTTGCTTTCTAAATTTCTTAGAGAGGAGTCTAGGTGTGGTTAGATCCAATCCTAGTCCCAGACTTGATCAAGGGTTTATATCTAAAGGATTATATATGCACAATCCATCCTTTCTATCACATAGCTCAGATTTTGCAGTTTAGCAGCTATTAGTCACCTACCGAGGATTTATCACAGCAAGGAATCTCTCAGCCTTGAGGAGTAACCTTGAGAGGTGTCCCTACTCAAGGGGAGATCCTGGTGTGTATCCCACTGTCATTTCAGGAGAGCTCAGTGGGCTCTGTGCTGTCCACTCTTTATGGAGTAAGATGATTGACCTATAGTCATATTTTCACACCCACCATATTTCGGTCAGTACACTCAGCAAGTCCCCCACTGTTGGAGCAAGTTGCCCAAGATAGCCCTTGGCTATTGTGTCGTTATCCATCTCCAATGAGCTGGATGCAGCTATCACAACCAGATAGCATCCATGATGGTCACCGTTGGTGGTTATCACTTGAACAGGGTTACGGGAAATAAAGATCAAGGGAGGTGGGGTGGGGAGCACAGAGTAGTTTGTAGGGGAGGAGGGGAAATCAACTCTGTGTGGTCATGCGTGGCTCACACACACAAATGTCTCATCCTTTCTGTGAATGCCCAAACATTGCAAAATTTGAAAGAGACAGAGAGTTGAAGGCAGGATTGGGTCTTGGAGGGAGTTTACTTCCCAGATTTGGGTGGTAAAAGCATGAAACCCTCACCATATCACCACATGGTGAGTCACGTTGGCATACAGCTGGTGACACCTCCCTCCCGGCAATGTTCCTCTCCTCCCCACACCGGAGGGTGACTGCGGGCAGCCACCACGGCCACTGTACGTTGCACAATCTCCTTTACTGTAAGACTGGGTAAATATTGACGGGCGACTTTGCACTTTGCATTTGCCACTTGTGGAGCTTCCTTGTCCTTTCAAGACGCGCACGCGGAGCCCAAGATGAAGGTTGAGTTTGCTCCGCTCTCCGTGCCACTGCAGAGAAGGCTTCAAACGGCAGCAGTGGTTCAATGGGTCTTCAGCTTCCTAGGTCTAGGTAAGAGACATCTCCTTTTCCTTCTCTGAAAAGCCAGAGAAGTTTTTGCCCCAAACCCTTCTCTCCATGACCCCAAGGAAGACGTAGGACTGAAGGTCTGAGACCAAAGGAAAGTGACATTAAAGGCATCTTCTGGGAGCCTGTGGTGAATCCCAGGCCATGTTAGGACAAGTGATTAGTAGCAGACGTTGCACTCGCGTGTTTCTGTCTCAATGTATGAAGATAAGTGTGGGAAGTTCTGTCTCACCAAAGCAGTTCCTGTTTTCCTTTTTTTCTTTTTTTTTGGTTTCTTCTCACCTCACAGTCTGAAGGAAGTGTTTAGATTTGTGATCCTCACTACAGGAAAGATGTTGAGGTGCTGGAGGGAGTCCAAAGAAGGGCAACGGAGCTGGGGAAGGGTCTGGAGCACAAGTGTGATGAGTTCAGTGCTGAGGGAACTGGGGTTGTTGAGCCTGGAGAAAAGGAGGCTGAGGGGAGACCTTCTGGCTCTGTCCAAGTCCCTTGGCAGGGGGCGGAGAGAGGTGAGAGTTGGTCTCTTCTCCCAGGTAACAAGTGATAGAACAAGAGGAAACGGCCTCAGGTTGCACCAGGGGAGGTTTAAATTGGATCTGAGGAAAAACTTCTTCACCACAAGGGTAGTCAACATTGGAACAGATTACCCAGGGAGGTGGTGGAGTCACTTTCCCTCGAGGCATTTAAAAGATGGATAGACAAGGTGCTTAGGGACATGGTTTAGAGGTGGAATTGATAGTGTTAGGTTTATGGTTGGACTTGATGATCTTAAAGGTCTTTTCCAAACAAAATGATTCTGTGATTTTCAGCATGGTGGCACCAAGAAAGTGCATGGCTGCATGGCTCTACTTGGGAACTTCTAAAGGTCTTATGCAGCAAACCTGTGTGGAGTTTCAGCTTCTCCTGCTCTTTAGGTTTAGTGTTTTGCCTGTTTGAGGTGCTGCCCTGCTCAGCGTTAGTTGTAAGAAATGGCATTCCCATGCTTGAGTCATGGTATGATGGGAAGAGCATGGGGGACTTTGCTTTGCACCCCTGGGAATAGAAACCTCACTTTCTAGAGATGCCCCTGCAGACCCCAAAAGGGCATTTTTCCAAGAAAACCCAAGCAGATTGAGGAAGAGACACATTAGCAAACTGGGACCCTGGAAAACTCACTACTCTGTGAAGGACATCAGGTGCTGATGGAAATGAGAAACATGCAGTTTTGAATAGGACACAGTGGGAAAGAAGGAGATGGGAGACCCAGAGGCATGTTATCAGAGAGTGCAAACTGTCTGGGGTGATTTACAGCCCATCAGGAGCCAAACTGGAAGGTGACAACTTAGAGTTTGCCATTGTCATGCCAATTCTTAATCTCCGACGGAATCTGTGTAAATCTTCTCCTTTATTGTGGCAGGATAGTTGTTGGCCAGTCCCAATACACAAAGACAGCAGATCTTTTTGTATATATGGGTCCTGGCTCACAACCATCTCCAAAACAATACCTACAAAGAAAGCATAGGCTATGCTTCAGAGACTCAGTAAGTTTCTGAGATGGCTCCAACCAAACTCTTCTACAGACCTGGGGTGGAATGACCACCTTTACACCAGTATCTGGTGGACTGTAGAACTAGGCCATACTGGGGTAGGTGGTGTAGCTGTTTGCATGCTTCTTGGCATAGGTTTGACCCATGCTAAGTTACACTCTTCCAAACCACACGTTGGCACAGTTCCAAACCACACATTGGCACGGTTTGGGCAATGGCAGAGGGCAGGGACAATTGCTAGTGGCCAGGATGGTCAATAAAGGGTGAAGCTGCCCTTTACTGGAAGAGAAGAGAATCAGAAACATGGACATGACTGGGAAATACTGTTCACCCACTGGGTCAGCAAGTGGGGTCTATTGAGTTGCTTTGGAGAGGTGTAAGCAGTGTGGCCCCTTGAGTTGCTCTAGGACAAGCTGGAGGACATCCTTCTCCAGATGGAGGGTGAATGTCAGTGTGGCAGTGGTGGCATGGCCAGCTGAGCTGCCACAAACACAATTATGGCATGTCAGAGCACAGGGCACTTGGTGCCATCCTGTACTTGCATTATAAACCCTGGGGATCTTCTAGTGCAGAAGAGAATCCCGTTGTGATCAACTTTCCCCTGCACACCTGAGACCAGCTTGCAGGAGAAGACATGGATATCATGTTAACTGTGAAGAAGAGGGGAGATCTGGCAAAAGCCTTGGACCCAGCTGGCCAGACTGGGACATTTTGGGTTGCTCTTTAGCTCCCTCTCTGCCCCCGTGCCCAGATTTCCTTCCATGGTGCCTGGATGGGATGGGATGTAGTAGAGATGTGGCTGCAATATTAACAAGGGATGCAACAACACATCCCCATTCCCAACATGGATGCAGCTGGAGCTTATGGAGCTTGGCACTGGAATGGGCTACCTAGGGAAGTGGTTGAGTCCCCATCCATGGAGGTATTTAAAAGACAGGTAGATGAGGTGCTCAGAGATCTGGTTTAGTAGTGGAGAGATACGGTTAGACTTGATGATCTCAAAGGTCTTTTCCAACCAATCAATTCTATGATTCTATGATTTAACAGTGTTATTCAGCAAAACAACTTGTACTTTAGGTTTTCCTGTTCTCGGTATTGGGAACAAGCTGGCACTTGACTTTTCAGTGGTGGAAAAGACTTCTGGAGCCAGTAGAAAGCTAGAAAATGGTCAGGAAAGAGGAATCCACTGCAGTCAGTCAGAGGGTAACATGGAGCTACTCAAAATGTAGGCTCTGCCTCCTGCAGGAAAATGAGGGTGAGATCCAAACCCATATGTCCTCCATGGCTGGTGTTCCAGAAATTACTGTCTTTCCCTGGAACCATTTTACTTTGATTTTGGATATTTTGGGGGTTTTTTTGGTGATACAATCTGAAACCAAAAAGCAGTTAAGAAATGCTATTAGAAAGGTCTTAGAAGGGTGATAACCAAATCTTATGGAGTGATTCCATCAGGTTCAATTAATTTTACAAATTTTCTTTAAGCCTGGAGTTTTCCACCCAAAAAATCCCAGTTTAAGAACTGCAAAAGCTGAATGCTAAAGGACACCCTTAATTTTAACCCATGAGCTGCCAAACACCCCATGCCCCACCCAGTTATAACCCTCAGGCACAGAGATCAGATCTGCCCTGGGCAGGATTTGGCCGACCGGCTGCTCCTTTCTCTCTGAGACAGAATTGTGCATCTGCTGCCAGAAAAGATCCCCTGAAAAACACACTCCAGACATTTGCACAGCCCTTTTTGGCTGGAGATCCCAGCAGCCGCTGCTCAGCAGCACTGGTTGTAGGCAGCTGTTGCTATGGTTGTGTAAATGCATCCCCTTGGAGAGGCCAAGGGGCTCATTCATTCTCCGTGGGGTGCTGGATGAGTGCGGTTGGTGCTGGCAGGGAGCTCTGCTGCAGCGTCTCTCACAACAGGCAGGCATTGTCTGCTCTGATGGCTTTTCTTGAGGATGTTCCCCGATAAGGCACTGAGACAAAAGATGTCATTTATTTCAGATGCTGGCAGCTGCTGGATGGTTCAAGGATGGGATGCAGGGCATGGAATACAGACCCTATTGCGTCCTTACTGCAGGATCCCAGTACTGACCAGTGTCTCCTCCTAATGTGATGGAGCCAGGCTTCTACAGGGCATTGAAACAGCAAGCTGGTGCCTAAATCTGCTGCATCACTTCCCACTGCCTCTCTTATTCCTGGTCTCCATGGATTTAGGCATGGGCATTGTTGTAGTTTAACTCAGCCAGCAGCCAAATGCCACACAGCTGCTCGCACACATCCCCACCCAGGGAATAGGGGAGAGGTTTGGAGGGGTAAAAGTAAGAAGACTTATAGGTTGAGATAAGAACAATTTAATAATTGGAATAAAATAAAACTAATAAAACTAATAATAAAACTAATAATAAAACTAATAATAATAATAATAATAATAATAATACTAATACTAATACTAATACTAATACTAGAATATACAAATGAGTGATTGTCCTAGTTTTGCTAAGATAGAATTAATAATATCATGTCAGGTCCATTATATTAATGAGGATTGACCAGAAAGCTAGGGATTCTCTTGGGGATCACTCAGGCTCACTATTCCAGGTTGTAATTTCAGTTTCAGACTCTCTCTGCTCTGGGATTGCTGGTTGGGGACAGGGTGGGCATCAGCCAGCAGGTGGTGAGAAATTGAACTGTGCATCAATTATTTGCATAATGACCATTATTTTTATCATCATCATCATCATCATCATTATTTTATTTCCATAAGAAAATTGTTTTGATATCAACTCATGAGTCTCCTTACTCATACCCTTCCAATTCTCTACCCTGCTCCCTGGGAGGGAGTAGATTGAGAGAGTGACTTTGGTTGCAGACAAAGGAGTGAAACCACCACAGTGATGCAAAGTACAATTGCTCACCACCCACTGATACTGATCCCAGAGGAGTGAAAGTCCTTAAATTGCAATCCTGGAAGAGTGAGGGAACTAGCATTATGGACAACCTTCATTTCTATACTGAACATGACATTATATGATATGGAATATCCCATTGACATATCCAAATACCAGTTTGAACCCATCGCTCTCCTCCCAGCCTCTTTTGCACTTGTAGACTTCACCACCCACTGATACTGATCCCAGAGGAGTGAAAGTCCTTAAATTGCAATCCTGGAAGAGTGAGGGAACTAGCATTATGGACAACCTTCATTTCTATACTGAACATGACATTATATGATATGGAATATCCCATTGACATATCCAAATACCAGTTTGAACCCATCGCTCTCCTCCCAGCCTCTTTTGCACTTGTAGACTAGCAAAACATGGGAAGTTGGGAAGTCCTTGATTCCTCAGTAACAACTGAAAACATCACTATATTATCAACATTCTTCTCTCAAGAAATCCTACCCTGAATAAAAAAAAAACAAAAACAAAACCCACTATTCTAGATACTAAGAGAAGAAAATTAGCT